GCGCACACCTTCCCTCTTCATCTCTTGCCAAGAATCTGCTCCTCTTTATGTTGTTCGGAGATGGTTTTACTCCCGACCATCTATTCCTCCCTCTACTTCTTCTCTTCTTCATTTTACCCTGCTTCTACATCTCCATCTATCTATCTATCCATGCATCTATCTATCTATCTATCCATCTATCCATATATCTACAACTATTTGTATATATATATATACTATCTTTCATACAGTCTACCCATTTCATTCAATTTTAAACAAATCCCTTACTTTTTCTTCTTTTTCCTTTTTTTTTTTTTTAAATTGTCTCTATTTCACAAAGTCACATGCAGACCTTGGACTTCTTTTTTCTTTCTCTTTCTTTTTGATAGATTATGCCAGTTATAATTTCAGCTACATCAAGTGTTATAGACGCATATATTGATTGGTTCATACTAAATTTAGTTACTAACCGATTTATAAAGACGAAGATGCGGTGTGGCAATGACTGTCACGAGTATCATTACGTTAAATATTTTATTTTTTAATTAAAAGAATTTATGTGTCGTCATGGACGTACAATCCAATATTAAAATGACAATTAAACATATCGAAAAATGATTATTACTTCAATTAACGATACTAAACTTTGTACATTAGTTCATATGTGAATTATATAATAATCATTACAATTCAATAATTCTTATGGTTTACAATTAAATGTTTATTTTACATTCATATATTTAAACATATATATTATTTTCCTTCAACCAATTGCATTTAAACTTAACATGAACTTTAAAAGTTAAACTTTTAAATATATTATGTATTCATACACTTTTTACTAAAAAGAAATACAAAGTATATTTACGAATATATTAAATCAAATACAAAATATATTTCACATATTTTAGGTATATGTAATATGTCTAAGTACACATATTAAAGATAGTTATATAATATATAAAATCCATGTATCAAATTAAAGAAGGTGAAAGCTATGACTAATGGACAACGTATTTTAAACATAATTAAAATGAAATATTAATTTTTATAAATTTTAATAAAATAGTTACATACACTAAATATCATTGAATATCGGAGCATTTTTATTGCTAATTTGCAAAGGAATAACGGTTTTGAGATATGTTTATAACGGTTTTTAGATATGTTTTTTGTCTATATATATATATATATATATATATATATATATATATATATATATATATATAATTTTGCACACTGTATATAACAAGATATAACCAATGACGTAAATTATATTACATCATTGAGATATTGAAAAGCCATTTGTTGTTTTAATAAAGCAATGCTTTATGAAAGTATTTTAGTTGTCAATGTAGGAATTATCTTAAGTAGAGTTAAGGAATTTCCTTCAAATGATACATCAATACACATTAAGCCAGTATTGGTAGGAAAGCTATAAGTATTGTCCGTGAACATTCGATTATTACGCATTTTTAAAGTTTAGAATTATTACGTAAAACAGTGCGAAGGAATAATAAATTTCAGAAATCTGTATAAAAAAGCCAATGTCCGATTAAATTTTTAAACGTAAACAAAACAACATCGATTAATTTACTTTTCATATATCTCATCAGCTCATCTTAATTAAAATAAACAATTATAATTCAACGGTCTCACTATTTTTTCAAACCTGTGTTAGAAAACACAGACAGAATTAACGAAAAATAACAAAATTTCAATAATATTTGAAAATAATTTTTTTTCATTTGTAATTAAGCTTTGCATTATTATAAATCATGACTTAATTAACGCGTGATATTAAGTTATTTTACAATCATCTTCAATTTTAATAAATATCTTTAACGTTTTCATAATATAATATATAATACGAAATTAATAATTTTAAATACTGTAAGATATTAGACGTAACGGTATTATTTTTTTCATTGTTTATACCATATAACATTTGATGCATCTATAGCTTTATTCTAACATATAAATATCAATAAAAAGTTTTTTATATCAAACTTATTTATTACATATTATTATTATTAATAGTATAGCATATTAAATATCTATTAGTAATGAATATTGAATAAAATAGTCTTATTTTTCTAATCACGGTTTATAACATTACAGTTTTTAATGCTTTAAATATATTTATAATATATGCTTAAATATTATTAATTATATTACGTTATGAAACTTTAATTTAAAGAATTTAATGGTATATTACTTTATTATTATTACTATTATAAGGAAAATGTTATGCTCGAAGGAATTTTAATTAGCTACAATATGCGAAAATTAATTGCATGTCTCGAGATAAAATAAAGTTTTCATACATGTATCTATAGGCATTAATATTAAATAACGTAATTATTTGTTTATGCGATGCATGCGATGTAATATATAATTTTCGAAAATAATTAGAGACTAAAATTAATAGAAAGTACAGTGAATTAAGCGGCGATTCATTTTATTTGTCTAAAATCTTATGTTTTTAAAATTAATCCAGCTGAAATGCTGTAAATTAAATGAAAAATGTAAAATCCTTTTAATACTCTCTTATAATGAAAACTTCTTTATCATTAGATAAAAATCATTTATAAAAAATCATTTTGCCCAATTTGTGAAAAATATTGCAAATTCTATTAATACGTTACTTTTATTTCCTACAAGTATCACTGCTACTTGCACTTGGAGCAAACATTAATTTAAATATAAATAATAATATTTTTTATTTCAAACTATATTAATTTAGCAATTTTTAATGTAATGTCAATAGATACGTTAAAAATTTTGTGCGACAATCTGTGTAATATCTATTAGTAAAATATCATAAATGTATATACGTGCATTTATTTACACAATTTTCAATTATTTTCAACATAAGTGGTTTGCTTTTAACAATACGTAATTCTTTAAGTCTATTATTTAGTTGATAATGTGCAAAATCTTAAGAATAATAATTTGAAATTATATTGTTCTCATATTTCCTCTTTGCTCTGTCATTTTACTTTATTAAAACTTTCTGGAATTTGCTGATTATCGTGCATTAAAGAATACAAATAATAAGAATACACACAAGAGCAACAACACAATAAATAAGAGTATTAAGTTTAGTGCGAAAAGATTTAAGGAATGTAAAGCTGTAGCACTTACAGGAGAACAATGGTTCGAGTCCGTTCGAGCCTGACATTCAACACATGCCGCGCGTAATTGGATTCAAGTTGACCTCAGTTACTTAGCCCTTTTCTTCCCTTTTATTCTTAATTCTCTCCCTTACTACTGCTTCTTTCTTCTACTTTTGTATCCGTCACCTCGTCCCACGAAAGGGTGTATAAATGCAAGGTACGACAAACGTTGAAGAGAGAGAGAGAGAGAGAGAGAGAGAGAGAGAGAGAGGTGCGTATAAGCAAGCGAGCTTTGGTTGGGGGTAGAGTAGAGAGCGATTGCGAGGAAGCCGCCCCCGGGAATGAGATGCAGATTGCCAGAGGCCACTTCACTCGCTGGAGAGAGTGAATTTTTAATAACACCGAACTCTCCCCCTTCCTCTTTCTCACACTATCTTTCTCTCTCTATCTATCTATCTATCTCTCTCTCTCTCTCTCTCTCTCTCTCTATATATATATATATATATATATATATATATATATATATCTTTCTCTATCTATCTCTGTCTATCTATTTCCTCACTCTGTGTCTATCTGTCTCTTCACTCTCCTCTATCCTCATTCTCTTCTGTCTTCGCAGTTCGTGACGTGTATAAATATCTACTTCCATTGTTTTCTCTCTTCGTTGAGGCGCGGCGCGTAAGCTCGGTTTCGCAAAAACGTAAAACGAAGCCAACACACTACCGCAGCCGCTCCATTATTGTAACTGGAAAATAGAAATGGTGAG